AAGCTAAGTTATTTATTTAACAAATTTTTAATTTATTTCACTCATTTTCTTCATTTTTTGATTTATTTTACTCATTTTTTTATTTATTTCAACCATTTATTTATTTATTTAATTTTGGCTAAAACGGCTCTCCATACACCTGAGCTGTAAAGCTTCAAATAGGGTTGGCTTTTTTTTTTTATCTAATTTACCAAAACTCCATGGTTGGAAAATGTTCAGTTTTGTTACATTGTATGAATGTAATGCACACTATTCCCATTTAGCTGTATTATTATGACCCCCGCACGTGAAGCGGAAGCAGGAGTCATATTGTTTTCGTACTGTTAGTTTATTTATTTATTTAGTTCAGTGATTTTTGGTCAACTGTAGCACAAAAACAGCTGCACCGATCAACATGAAATTTGTCAGGACTGTAGATGAGTCTGACCTACACTGATCCAGCCAACGGTTTTATGATAGACCCCATATTTGAGGAGGGGGCTCCTCTCAAAGAGGGGGTGTCAGGACATGCAAAAATGGTTATAACTCAGAAACTGTTCAACATAGGAGCTTCAGGTTTCTGTTGTTGTTTAGCTCTGATGAAGCTCTATCCATCAGGCCCACCAATCAGAGCCCCCTACCCCCCGGACCCCCAATTTTTCTGAAAAAGGGGGGTCTGGACATACATAAATGGTTATAGCTCAAAAACTATTAAACATAGGAGCTTCAGACATCTTTTGGTGTTTAGCTCTGATGAGGGGCTATCCATCAGGTCCAACATCCCCCCCATCAAAAAAAAAAAAARACCCCCACCCAAACCACTATAATTTTGGGATGCATCTAGCAGCATGACATTTATTAGGAATAAAGACTTCTGAGTTCTGGTGCAGTTCGGCGTGTGGAGGTCAATATGTTACCTCTATGTGGTGTCTAGTTTCATTTAAAAATTTGTTTATCATTTCTTCAAAGCTATAAAGTGTGAAAACAGATACATTCTTGACAATAGATTGGTGTTGCTTCAGTGTTCATATATTGTGGCCCTAATAATCCCTCCTGCTGAGACCACCAACATGTAGGAAGAACCTTTCCCCCTCCCTGCTGTCCCAGTTTCTAAGCTGAACTGTGCTTGTGTCTGCAGGTGGTGACTAACAGGGACACACTGGAGACCCTGCTGTGCGTGGCTTACGTCTTCGAGGTGTCTACGAGCGAGCACGGAGCGCAGCATCATATTTACAGGCTGGTCAAAGACTGACGCAGCTCCACAGCTGGACCCTTCTGTAGCACACGGGTGAGCGACAACACCAAACAAAAGACCGCCTGCTGCCACGAGCTGAACGCTGGAATCTGTCAAGTGGAAAGCCGAGAACGCCCGGCTGCTTTAGAGCAGGAACATTACTGCTGCTGAAGAACAGGAAGTGCATTTTGGGACTTTGGAAGCTGAAACAAGTAAAGTGTGAAAAGTGGCAAGAAAATAAAAAAATGAATAAAACTGAATAAAAGAGAAGGACCATGAAGGTCTCAATACCAAAGGAGCCAAACACAGTGTGCATGATGAGTAGTCATGGTGTTGTACGTCTCGTTTTACTGAAGCTTGTTTTTCATTTAGATTCTTTTCCACGTGCATGTGCAGGGCTGTTTGCTGCAGAGGAGTTTGGTTGTCTCAGGACGCCATCTGCTGGCTTCAGTATGTATTACAGAGAGGACAACAAAAGAAAGATGGACTCTTTGGGACACGGTCTCCATGTACCAGTGTTGTGTGTTCGTACACCAGGGAAGTGATTGTGTACACGGCCACATCCATCTGACTGACACTGGTTTAAAGAGCTACTGAAATGTGTTTGAAGTTGATTGTTTAATGTTTCCCATATTCTTGTCTTTGATTGGCCACTTTCTGACGACAACATGAGGCACATAATAAAACAGTTAACTTGAACCAGATTGGGATCTGATTGTGAATGTAAGCCAGCCTGTCAGATGAAAATACAAGTGTTTCTTACAAACCTCTCTCTCTTGCTGCTTTTTGTGTGAACCTGATGATGATGATGATGATGTGGATTCATTGGTTCCTCTCAACCCCCCCACCACCCCACCTAGTTTGAATTTCGAATGGATGTGGTTTGGATCTTCTTTTTTTTTAACTGTCAAACTATCTGTCTGATCAGCCCGGGGTTGCATTTTCTCTTGCATCCACGTCCTGGAGGTTTGGCTACAGCCACACGAACCTTAATAAGTGGTTCAGATGAACATAAAGCAGCCAGGTGATGGTCTGGTACTCTTTACCTTTAACATCTTATTTCTGAGCTCCTCAGTTTTCACATTTGTTCTCTCTGCTCCATGTTCAGTGTACCGCCCACGATCATACAAAACCATTGATAAATATAACTGGATTGGGTGTGGCTAGCGTGTTGCTAGCTACATGGACGTGCACCCACTGGAGCTCTGCTCTGCACTGAGGAACCTCAACACAATGAATGGAGGTCAATGGACTGTGAGGTGTCTTCCTGACGATAAACTCTTATAACTTCCTTATTTCTTGCTCCATTTTTACAAACTATGGTTCAAAATAAAGCTGAGGATGTTGTGAATTTTATAGTTATGGAAATTTAAAATAGATAACTAATTTAAATGAGTAAAACAGTGGCTTAAACTAAGTATTTTACGTTTCACAGGTGTTTTTTCATACAAATCAATGAGTTCTGACCAGCTGGATATTCATACATATATTTATTAATCAGAACTGAGTCTTAGACATTTAAAATAATAAAATTAATCTTTCAAGTCTATACATATGTGTGTGTGTGTGTGTGTGTGTGTGTGTGTGTGTGTGTGTGTGTGAGTTACGTTGTAGGTCTGACGTAAAAGGTAACACCTCCAGGGGTGTAACCAGGAAGAGAAATATATTATAAGCTCAATTCATTATTGTTGTAAAAATAAGTCGTCAGTGTTTTCAGTCTCTGCTCAATTCAGTTCAGTTCAATTCCATAAAAAGAACAATGTAAAGAAGAAAGCAGCAGGTTGTGTTGAACCACTTCATCACAGTCTCCCATCCTGAGCAAACGGTGGAGAGGAAAAACTGCTCAGTTTGGGTTTTTAGCTCAAGGTCTCACGCTGAGGCCTGCTGGGTGCTGTGTTGTGAACCTGATGGGAGTCAGAAGACAAGAATAAAGTTTTAAGAAGAAATCCAGTGGATTCCTGTTTTATTCACACGCACCATTTTGAACAGTGCATTTATTTTTACACAATTTTAAAAAATGTTTTAGAGAGTCTGGGTGAGCTGCAAAGGATGCTGGGTAGTCTCTGGGTAAAAATGTACAGAGTTTTTCTGGTTGTGTCTTTAGATAAGTTGTTCTCGTCAGCTGTTGTGTTCATTTTTGATCTAACGTTTACGTTCTAGTCTTGTAGTCTGTAGTTTTTTACTGTAAAACTGACACCTTCAGTCAGACTATATCTGCTGCATTAAAAACATACCATCACTTTTTAGATTAACAATGTTTCTGCTCTTCTTCAGTGCCAGAGCTGGAGATAATGTTTCAAACTATTGAACACTGCCTCCAGCTGTTTAGGAGGAATATTACATCCCTATTAATCATTTCACTGTGGGAGTGGGGTGTACAATGAGGTGGCCAAAGATTTCTCTGTGGTGTCCATAGACTGAGCCCCGTCCACAGGTAGTGTCTGTGACATCATGGAGGAGCAGAAACAGACCAAACAGGACAACAGCTCACAGCAAACAGAAACTAACAGATAAACAGCAGCTGAACTGGATCTGTTTCACAAATTATCTGTCATGTTTTTAAATGAATAATTATGTTATTTTCATTCAACAATCATGTAAAACAGCAGATTTATACCAGAAAAATATAATTCATAAGTAACAATCATCTAATCCAGATGTGAAGATTAGACT